TCCTTAGATGGACAAGAGCCAGGTCAATATTTTTTAAAAGTCCTTTTAATGTATATTTATTTATTTTTTAAAAATATCATCTAAGAAAGCATTTGTTTTAAGAGTTCTAATTTAGTGATGAAAAAAAGAAAAGAATTTAAAAAGCCCACTAAATCATGTGACCTTCCGGGCCAGCTCAAGAGCACGTGTCTCTGTGAGCTTTCTGGATATGACGTGATGGTTATCTCTGGTCTTTACTGCCATCAGGAACAACCTAGGTTGTGGGGTTCAGTGGGGACCTCACTTTCCTAAAACAGATTGAGAGGGAGGATATATTTATGACAAGGTGGACTTTTTTCCCTCTTCTCTTAGCAGCTGTGTGGGGAGCTGTTGCGTTAGTGAGGTTTCCATGTCCCAGTTCAAGGAAATAAGAAAGAACCAGAACATTTGTTTTCACATCTTCGTACACACATGCAGTCAACACGCTAGAAAGTGGTCTATGCCAGGATTCTCTGTCACAATTTCTCACCGTGTCTGTAATAAAAGCACATTATGAAATGTTCTAGATTGGAATGTTAAAGGGTCATGGCTTGGAAGTCTGTGTTTAAACTAAGCATCCCAAGTGACGCTTTGAAAACCGGCACTTAACTTTCCAGCCTTGAGGGAGCAGAGAATGTCTGACCTTACTGGTAACGTTACTGTTGCCCTGAGCCGCTGCTGTAGGTTCTGACTCATAGTCACTCTGCAGGATGGAGTGGAACTGCCCTGCAGGGTCTCCGTAGTTGTGGTCTTTATCTTTATGGAAGCAGACCGCCTCATTGTTCTCCTGCGAGCAACTGGGGTCAGAACTTCTGGGCTTTCACTTAATAGCTATTGGCTTTAATAAGTACACTACCAAGACTACTTATATCATAAATATGTATATATACTTACATATGTGTGCATATTTAAAAAAAATTTTTATTATTTTTTTTAAATTTCAATGAACATCTACAGAGATTTTGGAATTCCATTCATTCATTGTTGCACTTTTCTCCCCGCTGCCCCCCTCCCGTTCACTCCTCTCCTTGAAAAGCAAAAGAAAAACTCTTTCATTGGTACACAATCCCCCCCCCAACACACATCCCGTGCATATTTTTAAATTTTAATTGTCATTTGAATGAAAGTGTACAGAAAAGTTAGATTTTCATTCATTCATTGTTGCACATTTCCCCTCCTCCTTCTCTTCCCCTCCCCCAGTTTTTAATAGTCATTCATTGTTGCACAATTACCTGCCCCTCCAGTCCACTTTGCAGTGCACCTCTTATACTAGGCTGTTCTCATATGTATAATGTCTAATCATATAGATAATGAACACTGCATTGGAATAGATGAAGGAAAGTGTGTGTGTTTTAAGAGAGCTCTGACAAAATAGTCCATAGAGAGTTTCACTGTTAACCCAAAGGCAGTTTGGATCCTCCAGCAGCTCCTAGAGAGAAAGATTGATTGATTGATGTTCATGATTGAGATATATATGTATATGATGGGAGTGTTTCTCAAACCAACTGCCGTCACGTACATTCTAAAACACAGCAACCCTCCATTGGGTATCTTAGGTTATAAATCTTTGTAGGAAGAGACTGTTCATCTTTCTGATTCAGACTAGCTGGTAGATTCAAACCTCTGACCTTTAGTTTAGCAGCATAACTTGCAATACATGACACAGCAAGAATTCTGTGTGTGTGCATGTGTGTGTGTGTAAAGGTCTGGTGGCCTAGTAATAAGAAGCTGTGCTGCAATCCCAAAGGCACACAGTTAAAATGTACCAGCTGCTCTCTGCGAGAAGGATGCATAGTCTCCTGCCACACTATTAACTAGCTCTGAAAACTTGCTTCAGGGTCAGCTATGAGTCGATTATGAGTTAGCAACACACAAGAGCATGTGTGTGAATATATGAATGTGTGTGTGTGTGTGTGTGTGCTATGTTCACATGTGTGTACATCTATCCAACTAACAGCAACAACATACCAAACTCAGTGCCAAGGATTGGGTCCTGACTTACAGTGAGTCTATAAGACAGAGTCAAATTGTTCCGTAGGGTTTCCAAGGCTTTGCAAAAGCCGACTGCATTGTCTTTTACCCAAAAAATAATAGATGACTTTCAACCACTGCTCTTCTGGTTAGTAGCCGAGCTCTTTTTTTTTCTTTTTTTAATTTTTTTTCTATAAT